AAATAAAGATTGTATAAAAAAAAAACTGTTAAATGTTCATTATTAGTTAGGACTGTTGTAATGGGAAGATGTGTTCCATGGTCTGTTTTTGTTGTTGTTTTTGAGACAGGGGTTCTCTGTGTAACAGCCCTGACTGTCCAGGAACTAACTCTGTAGACCAGGCTAGCCTCAAACTCACAGAGATCCACCTATTTCTGCCTCCCAAGTGCTAGGATTAAAGGCATGAGTCACCACTGCTCAGCTCCGTGGTCTGTTTCTTCAGTATGACCCTGTCCTGGTGCAGTGGAGAACGCTAGAAGCACACGAATCACAATAGACTATCTATTATAGTCTTCTTATTATAAGTCCTATCTTTCCATATTGAACATGAAGCATTTACTGAACACCTTGGGATATGCCAAGCCTGTTCTAGATGCTTGAAATAAATCAGTTAATCAAACAGACTAAAATCTTCAACTTCATGTCACTTTTACAATACAAACCCTAACTAGCTTATGGAAGTCTTTCCCAAAGGTACAAAGTCCCTCCCCAAATTTTGCAGTGCTGACATAAACACTCCTTAGTTTAGTTCATTGGTTCTCAACCTTCCTAATGCTATGACCCTTTAGTACAGTTCCTCATGTTGTGGTGATCCCCAACCATGGAAATATTTGTTGCTACTTCATAACTGTAATTTTGCTACTGTTATGCATGTTAATGCAAATATCTGTCTTCTGATGGTCTTAGGTGACCTCTGTGAAAGGGATATTCAACCCCAAATGATTGAGAACCACTGGGTTAGCACATGTTATTCCACTCTGTGCATCTAGGCCTTTCTTCTTTCTCTCCAGTGCAAACTGTCTTCGCTCCTAGTCGGTTGCTGCAGCCTCCAACAAGAGTTCACTTGAACAACAATTTGTATTCTTGGATCAAGTTTTACGAAACCATGATTTACAGTTTAACTTTTACTCTCTGAGGTGAGGGTGGGGTGATGCATTAGTGTTGACATCTTAATTGCCTGAACACTTACCATCTCTTCTTTCACTTTGCCTGTCTTCTCTCAATGTGGCAGCCACAGGGGCCCTCTGATGTAGCAATTTAGCAGCTTTCCTGAAGTGATGGCTCATTTCACTCATTTTTGAAAAAATGTCTGTCAAATACCCAAGTAACTATTATTTAGTCTACTATCAGCCACTCAGGAAAAACAGTAAAATGGTTGTAAAAAAGCTTTTCAGGGAAATCTGTAAAGTCAAATTCTTCTCATAATAAAAACTTTGAGTTTATTAACTTTTTTCACAGTTAATATTTGCACAGATTATACAAAAGCAACATCAATAGAAGTGACTCAAGACAATGGCATCAGATTACACTAGTAATGGATATATTCTGCCTCACCTGATCAGTAAATACAGTCAGAGCTGTTTCATTTGCCAGTGTCTGTGCTGAAAGGCAGATAATTAGATGTGCTTGTAATGCCAGCACTCAAGAGGCTGAGGCAAGAAGACAATGAATTGGCAGCCATTGAGGCCATCCTAGTACATACAGCATTTGGGGGAGGGGGAACTTCCTTGATAAAGCAGTAAGATTAGTAACTTTATGACATTTTTAACCCTTGATGAAACTGCTAGGCTGAGCAAAGCCAAGCAAAGTCTTCAAAGTGTGCTGGGTTTGTCAAGAGAAACACTTGTGCTTATCTGAGCTGGGGTCGGAAGTCTCCATTTTTTCCACGAAGAAAGCAATCCTAGTTTTATTGTTGGTTTCAATATGTTTACAGCACTGGGGGCCAAACCCAGGGCCCAAGCACACTAGGGAAGCACTCCACTCCAGGGCCACTTGCCCAGTCCTACCATGTAACTTTCAGACTTGGCCACTTGGCAGATTTGTTCTTGAAAGTGAATCAAATGGTCTGGTACTTCAAGGAAAATTACAAATTTACTATCAGTGACATTTCAAGCTTTTGAAGCAAAAGCTGAAACTAATAGCATCAAGAGTTTTAGTTTTACCAATCTAAGCAAAAGAGGAGAGGCTACTTTAAATATCCTCCCCTGATAATGAGATTGATGACTGACTTATATGCCATCCTATAGCCTTCACCCAGCAGCTGGTGTAAGTGGAAGCAGAGACCCATACCTAATCACTGAACTGAACTGGAATCCAGTTGCAGAGAATGAGTGATGAGCAAAGGGGTCCAGACCCGACTGGTGAAACCCACAGAAACAGCTGACCTGAACAATGGAGAGCTCTTGGTCCCCAGACTGATAGCTGAGAAACCAGCATAGGACTGATCCAGACCCCAGGAATGTGGGTGTCAGTGAGGAGACCTCGGAAATCTATGGGGACTTCTGTAGTAGATCAGTACTTATCCCTAGCACAGGAATGGACTTTGGGAGTCCATTCCACATAGAGGGATACTCCCTGAACCTAGACACCAGGGGATGGGGCCTAGGCCCTATCCCAAAGGATATGACAGACTCTGAAGACCCCCTATGGAAGGTCTCACTCTCCCTGGGGAGCCAAAAGGGCATGGATAGTTAGGGTGTTAGTGGGGGGGGGGGCAAAGGAGGAGGGGAGGCAGAGGGAACTGGGATTGACATGTAAAATAATCTTGTTTCTAATTTAAATATAAAATGGAAAGAAAAAATAAAATAAAAATATAGAAATAAAACTTCTAAATTTCATAAAAATGTATCATGCAGTGTTTCATTATGTGTGTGTGTGTTGTTATGCACACATGTAGTACAGGTGTGTGGATCCATGCACAGTTGAGGCCAGAGGAGGATGTCCAGCATTTTACTCCATCGTTTTCTTTACTTTTTACTTTTGGGGATTGTAACATTTCCCCCTTCCCTTTCCTCCCTCCAAACCCTCCTATACACTCCTTGTTCTTTCAAATTCATGGCCACTTTCCCATTAATTGTTGATATATAGCATATGTGTGTATATCCTAAATACACAAATATAATCTGCTCAGTCTGTAATGTCACTGCTATTCACGTTTTCAGAGCTGACCGTTGGCATTAGATAACCAACTGGCTTGCTCTTCCCTGAGGAAGCCTACTTCTCCCTCTGGCTCAGCATTCCTTAGTTGCCTGTAGTTCTTTGTGTAGGGTTAAGGCCTTGGGAGCTCCTTCCCTGTCCACGTTAGCATGTTTATTGTTCTTACTCAGTTCATTGTTAGGCCGCCATGTTGGTGAAACTCTGGGTAGCTTCTGACACTCCTAGGAAATACTCTCACAGCATACTCTCTGACACTCTTGGGACTTATATTTCTGTCCCTGCCCCCCTTCAGAAATGTTCCCTGAGCTTTTGATTTTTCAGAATGGTGTTATGTGGCTTGGGATTGGGCTCCACTGCTCTGCATTTTGATTGGCTATTCTTTTCTGTAATGGTTTCCATCTGTGGCAAAGAGAAGTTTCTCCCTCTTTTAAGATTTTATTTTATATATGTGAATGTTCTCCTGCAGCCCTTGTGTCTGCCATGCACAGATGCCAGAATGGTGAGCGGAGCCACTGGGACTGGAATTACAATTGTTAGCCGCCATGTGGTGCTGAGATCAAACCAGGGTCTTCTGGGGGAACAGCCGGTTCTCCTACCCATGCTGTCTGTCCTCTTCCCAGCCATATAGACCTCTCCAACCCACCTTGCTCTTACTTTCTTGAGACAGGGTCTCTGGTTGAACCTGGAGGTAAGCAAGCAGCCAACAAGCCCCAGCTATCCCTTTGTCTCAACTCTCCAGTGCTGGGGTTACATGCCCATGGAGCTGTGCCTGGGATTTTACACTGGTAGTGGACATTTGAATGAAGGTCGCTGTGCTTGCACTGCAAGAACTCTTTGCTCCAGTGCTCTCTCTCCTGAAATCCATTACTGTTACTTTTTGTTTGTTTGAAACAGAGTCTCTCTTCTCTCTACATAGCCCTGACCTGAATTCACTATGTTGATCAGCCTGTCCTTGAACTCAGAGATCAGTCCGGCTCTGCCTCCTATTGCTGGGACTAAAGGCATGCCCCATCATACCCAGCTACTTTTATTTTAAAATAAATCATTAAAAGTATTAATGTAAGTTAAAAATAAAGGTATAAATATTTAGTTTTCTCTTCTGTTGAATGCCAACAGCTATAACACACATAAAAACTTCCCATGCTTCAACAATTTTTAAAAGTGTAATGAATTTAGAAGAATGTGATTGGGAATCTTTTTCTAGAATGCATTAGATCATGTTTTAAACAAAGACCTCCCTCAGCAAGTCCTTGCATTGGCCTACCAGCCTCTCCTTCCTGTTGCTGTCCTGTGCTCTATTGCTCATCCCTTCCTGCCATACTGCTTGGGGGGGGGGGGGTGCAGGCAGCCAGACAGGATTTCTCTGTGTAGCCCTGGCAGTCCTGAAACTCCACCTGCAGACTGGCCTCAAACTCAAGATCCCCTGCCTCTGCCTACAGAGTACTGGAGTGCTAGGATTAAAGGCGTGTACCACAACGCTCAGTGAATGGCTCTTACCGGTTTTTTCATGTGATCTTGAACTCAAGAAATCCTTCAGCCTCTGCCTCCTGGGTGCTGGGATTAGAGGTGTGTGCCACTCCCAGCGACTCATTGCTTTTTTGGTGTTCCTTCAGTAACTTAAAACACACCAACGAATGCCCTATTAGATGGTAAGCAACTTCCCATGCTCTGCACGGTTTTTCTCTGGATTCCGTAAAATCTTTTCTCAAATGTCATCATCGCAATATCTTAGCATTACAAGCATAGTATTTAAAATTGCGAATTCTTCAAGCTTCCTCAATCTCCCTGCATCATCTAGCCCTGGTCTATTTTAGCCTTTCTCCAAATTGGCATAATGTATGCCCCCAAACCTTTGGAAAACGCTCTGGTGAACACTGAATGAAAAAAAAAAATCCGTTCTTCATTTCTGAAGACACACAGACTAACTCTCAAGAAAAACAGATGCAACGTGCAACATCTTGAGACCTTGGTCCACAGCACCCTCCCCAGACCCCACCCAAGGAACACAGCAATCCACACCAAAAGATAGGACAAATCCTAAACTTTATAAACATGGCAAGAAGGACAACCAACTACTGAAAGGCAGACTCATTAGAAACGCGTCATCACTCCCGTGGCGTCTTCTCCCTCGCTTGCCGGGTCTAGGGTCGCTCCTCCCGCACAGTTCCCGGGGGTCCCGACAGTCTCTCGGTGACTTGTTCGGAATCGTCCACAGGTAAGCAGGCCAGGCGTGACAGACGATGAAGAAGCCCGAGCAAGGAGGACCGGCCCACCGCTGGCCGGCGGGGGAGCCTGGGAAGCGCTCGCCTCAGTTCTCCTCGGGCTTGTCCGCCGGCGGCCCGCTGGGCTGCAGCATCTTCTCCATCAGGTTGAAGCGCACGCGGGCCTTGCTCTCGTTCTCGGCGATGGCGAAGTAGTTGAGGAGGTCGAAGTGACCCATGTAGGAGCAGTAGGAGTCCCGGTGCTGGTTCACAAGCCATTCCCACTTGGTGGTGTCGGCGTGGCCCGTACCGATGTACTTGGACTGCAGATGCTCCAGCTGGCTGTGGATGGTGTACCGGTCCGTCATCTCGCCGCTCCGCTCTAGGCTTCCAGATCAGGCCGCAGACCCGACGCTACCCGCTCCGCGTTCAAACCTGAGAGACGCCGCCGCCGCCGCTGCCGGCCCGACACGGAACTTCTATCTGTGTAGGCGCGGGAGAAAGACGCCACTGTGGCGCCTGCGCAGACGCTCTTCTCCCAGGCGGAAGCGGAAGTGAATCCTGCCGCGGCATTGGAGTTGCCTAAGAAACATTGGGCCGTCCCCTCAGCGAGCCCGCCTACTTGGAGAGCGTTGCATGATGGTCTGCTGAGTGGCTCTTGGGTGATCACGTTCTAACTCCGGCGTTGCATTCTGGGATTTGTAGTCCAAAGAATTTGGCGTGTTTTTTTCTTTTGGTTTGGTTTTTTGTTTTCTTTTTCTTTCTCTCTCTCTCTCTCTTTCTTTCTTTCTTTCTTTCTTTCTTTCTTTCTTTCTTTCTTTCTTTCTTTCTTTCTTTCTTTCTTTCTTTCTTTCTTTCTTTCTTTCTTCCTCCCTCCCTCCCTCCTTTCCTTCCTTCCTTCCTTCCTTTTTTTTCTTCTTTTTTTTTTTTGCCTGACTAATGTAGGATGGTGTCCAACGATTACGACTACAAGTGACCAGGAAAACTATCTCTTGTACCTAGAAGCTCACACGGACCGCCCTTGGTCCCAGCTTTGTCCCTTAGGATCTGGGTAGTGGGAAAAGTTCTTTGGGTCCTAAATGCTTGGTGATGAGTGTCAACACCAGGTGTCTTCCACATCAAAATCCAGGCTCCAACTCCTCACACCACCCAGGGGCCCGAGCCCTCCAACCAAACAACCTCCTAACTTTAAGGCTGCTTACAATCATTTTCTGGAAGTCAGTTGTGTCTCAAGACAAGTACTCTCTCCTTCTGTTTTTCTGCCTGGTTACACCTTATGTTCAACTTAGAGGTTATGTATCTCCTCACAAAGGTATAAACTACTTGAGAAAAAGATACTGTACTTCTTTTCTGATATCCTTTGAGGATATTATATAGCTTGATGGAGATCGTATTCTTTAAAAGAAAAATCTGATGAATGGACAAAGAGCAATCTCAGTCAAAGAGACTGATAATAGGGGAGGGCCCAACCTATTACAGTGGGGACACCCCTGGGCTGGTAGTCCTGAATTGAATAAGAAAACAGACTGAGAAAGCCACGAAGAGTAAGCCATTAAGCAGCACCCCTCCATGGCCTCTGCATTGGCTCCTGCCTTCAGGTTCCTGCCCTGCCTACCTTAGATGATGAACTGTGATACGGAAGAGTAAATGAAATAAATCTTTCATCCCTGAGTTGCTTTTAATTATAGTGTTCTGTCACAGCAAGAGAAACTTCAACTAAGACAAGTAGAATCTGCATGAAAATTCTGTTAGTAAGAAATAAATCAAAAATTAGTGCAATTCCAGTGCCATTAAGAATGCCTCAGGCAGTGGTGGCACACACCTTTAATCCCAGCGCTCAGGAGGCCCAGGCAGGTGGATCTCTATGAGATTGAGGTCTGAAGAGGTCTACAAAGTGAGTTCCAGAACAGCCAGAAACCCTGCCTCGAAAAACCAAAAACAAAAATAGATAAATAAACATAAATAAGTATAAGAATAAAAAGGACTTAAGAATGTGAGGTAATCCCTGGATTCCAAAGCCCCCAGGAAGAAGCCACATTCACATGAAACCATTAAGTGTCAAGGTATCCCTTGTTGGCGCTGCCATAGCAAGCAATGTGGAGGGGCCTAGGCAACAGGAATCTATTTCCTCATAGTCTGGAGAAGGGAAGTTCAAGAGCAAGATGCTGATGGAGTTGGTCATATCCCAAGGCCCCTCTGAGCTTGTACATGGCATCTTCTGTCTGAGTTTTGATATGCCTTTTATGCCTGTCTGTTCAAATGTCCTCGTTTAAGACGCAAGTCACACTGGATTAGGACTCACTCCTACGATATCATCTTACCTTAGTACTTTTCTATTGCTCTGATAAGATAGAGTTTATTTGGACCTCACTGTTTCAGAGGGTTAGAGTCATGGCAGGGAGCATGACAGGCAGGCATTTCTCTGGAGCAGTAGCTGAGAGCTCACATCTTGAGACACAACTGTGGGGCAGAGAGAGAGAGAGAGAGAGAGAGAGAGAGAGAGAGAGAGTCTTTTGAAAACTTGAAGCCAACTGCCAATAAGGCCACACCTCCTAGCCTTTGCCAAGCAGTTCCACCAACAAGAGGCTAAATATTTAAATATATGGTGGTCATTTTCATTCAAACCATCACAAGTAGCTTTTTAAGGAGCCCATCTCCAAACCATAGTCACACATGGAGGTACTGGAAGTTAGGCTTTCCCTATGTGAATTTTAGAGGGACAGGGTTCAACCCTAACACACACACACACACACACACACACACACACACACACAGAAATGGAATAAATAAGGCACTATTATTGCTGTCATTTTGCTTTGCTTTTTTGCATTGCGGGATCAAACCCAGGGCTTATTAGGCAAGTGCTGTGTCACTGAGAGTACTTAATCCCCACATAATTGTCAAGTTAATTAATTCTATTTATGAAAACAACTTAAGCACTTGAAAAGGATTTTTGTTGATACATCGCATTATTGTAATGTCTATAGAAAGTAAAGAATATATGTATATTAATAAACTTAAAATGCTTAGCCATTAAGATTTGTAATGGAATTCCAATTTTAAAAAGTCCCTCAGAAATAATTTCTAAAATGTGTGAGACTTATAACAGAATTTTCAGGTGAACTTAAAACCTTGAAGAAAGAAAGGCATTTTTTGATTTGTAATTTTTATAAGTGGAGCACTAACTTTTAGAATCTAAATACATTTCTGAGTACTTCCTGTATTCCCAAATGACTTTTAGACTTTGTTTTCCTGAGACAGGGTCTGACTCTATAGGCCAGACTGACCTGGAATTTGAGGTAACCTTCCTGCCTCGGCTTTCTGAGTCCTAGAATTACAGGTGTGAGCCACAACTCCAGCCCAGATGACATTTAAAGGCACCCCAAAATCCTAGCATTTAACTATGTCAGCTTTCAGATAAGAGGAAAACTCAGCATAATTTTAATGGCAATTATATTAAATGTATAGATTAAATGGGGAAAATTGTACTTGCATTGTATTGAATTTTCTCACTAATGCACATAGAATATATTTCTATTTATCTGTGCCTTTAAAAGCTTTAAATAAAGTTGCTTATTTCCTTCAGCAGTCTTTTCCCATCTTCTACTAGGTTTATTTTGGGTGGGGGCTGTCATGTATGTTTAAAGATGTTCTCTAAGAACCCTTGGGAGCTGGGAAGGACTATCACTCTTCTATACTTATTACTCATAAGGAATTTTGGTCTAGAGTTTGTGACCTTAACACATAGTCGTGTTTTACCTGCATGTATGTCTGTGCACCACTTGTGCAGCTGGTGCCCCCAGAGGGCCTTGGACCCTGGAATTGGAGTAACAGAATTGTTAGCCACCATGCAACCACACCTGGATCCTGGAAAGAGTAGCTGGTGCTCCACCCATATGGTAACTCACAACCTTCTGTAATTCTAGTCTCTGGGTACCCTGAGGATACTGCATGCAAGTGGTAAACAGACACAGACAGAACCCTCAAATCATAAAAAAAATCATAAAAACAACAGACTCCTTCCTTCCCTTCCTTTCTTCCTTCCTTCCTTCCTTCCTTCCTTCCTTCCTTCCTTCCTTCCTTCCTTCCTTCCTTCCTTTCTTTCTTTTAATAGGGTCTGTCCTGGCTGGCCTGGAACTCACTCTGTCATCCAGGCTGATGACGAATTCCAAGAGATCCACCTGCCTCTGGCTCCTGACTGCCAGGGTTGAAGGCATGTGTGGCGGTGCCCAGCTTTTTTCCTTGATTGGTCTTGTTTTGTATTGCATGATGTCCCCGTGGCTGGTGTGTCGTACTGTAAATAACCACCCTTAACCACCCTTTCATTGGTTAGCTGTATGCTGTTTCCAACTCTACAGTGACTAATATCATACATAGGTATTGTTTTATACATGCTCATAAAGCAAGTTCTTCAAAGGGCGTTTGAAGGCAATTTAAACAAAACAGCTGTTATGAATACCCACAGACTACTCTAACCCAGTGATTCTCTGTGACTTTCAACCGTCTTGTGCTGAAGAAGTTATGTTCAGATTTTTCTATGATTTAGAAAACCAAGAGTTTAAATGAAAATCAACAAAAGACATTCTTTTTAGTGAAAATTTACTTTAAATAATTTTTTACTATAAGACTTTCAGTATGTACAAAGTGTTGCAATATCGCTTGACACTAGGGGGCGCCAAAACAACACTTAAGGCCGCCATACAGACTAGTGGCCAACATTTTTGTCACTTGGACCCCAGCAAGCTTCCCAGATATAACAGACCAGAAAGGTGTCTTAGTGACAGACATGCTGGAGGTCTGACGTTGGTCCGCTGAGTGTTGAAAGGAACCAGCTAAGATTCATAATTAAGGAGAAAAAAGTGAATGATTTCTTTGTCACCTTCCCAATACTACTTTGGAGTTTTATGTTTAGTTAGAATTCGTGGTGGTATGGAATTTATGGAATGTACAAAGCTTCTTCGTGAGCTCTGTTTTTGGGGTGTGTGTGTGTGTGTGTGTGTGTGTGTGTGTGTGTGTGTGTGTGTGTGTTGCTGTATGTTGCTGTGTGTTGAAGGAATGTAGCTTCAAACAAATAAAACCCTGTCTATGATTTTAATTTTCTGTGGTTAAATAGTTTTTTGCTCTTCTCTCTCAGCCATGGTGAGTTTCATGTGTGAAGAGTTAGAACTCTGTTTGGGAGTCTTTGACCCTACATAAGCATACACAATAAAGCCAAATTATCTATACCCCTTTCATACTCCTGTACTGGGGCAAACATGTCAAGTGCAGACACTCCATGACACCTTTAAGATTTAATGGGCTACTGATTTTCGGTGATAATTGGCTGGTACAATTTTTGAAAATTTTCTCATGGGGGAAATTTTTGAAAATAACTTTGATGTGTTATAGACAAATGCACTCTGATTGCTACAGTACTGTAACATTTGGGTTTTTTCTTTGTTTTTTTAATGGGAAAAAAAACAGATGTTCAGTTGGAACCTCCAGCATGGTCCCTGCAATGTCTGGGAAGCCCCATTC